CCCTATTGAATTCGCAGTGGAGCAGGGTGGCCGCAAGCGGTGGTGCAGTAAGGGTGATCGCAGTGGATGTGGCTGGTGCGTTTGACCGTGTCTCGCACACCGGAGTGCTCCACAAGGCAGAGTGCTATGGCGTAGCTGGTCACCTGCTTGGCTGGCTCCGCGACTACTTGAGCAACCGGAACCTAACCGCAGCTGTTGGTGGGGAGCTATCTCAGCCCTACCCGGTGAGAGCTGGCGTCCCCCAGGGCAGCATCCTGGGACCGACACTGTTCATCCTGTACACAAATGACGCCGAGGACCATCTCCCTCCTGGAATGGACCTCGCAGCATATGCCGATGACACTACGCTCTTCAACTTCATCACCTCAAGAGTATCCATACCTGGCAGCTCTGCTATCATGCAACAGGGTGTGGATGCACTGTTTCGCTGGGGCGTGGAGTGGAAGATCAAGTTTGAGCCCTCCAAGACCCAAGCCATGACAATCGCACATCATCGCCAGCCTTGGCAGCTCCCGAGAACCACTTTCGACGCTACGCCAGTCAGCGAGGCAGGCCACCTGAAGCTCCTGGGCGTCACCTTTGACTCCCAGCTGACATATGCGCAGCACATCCGCACGATCCGCTCCAGAGCACAGCAACGCCTAGGCTTCCTGCGGAAGGCCTCTGCTATCCTAGAGCCCCCTGGCCGACTCCGAGCCTACAATGGGTTTGTCCGACCTGTGCTGGAGTACTGTCCCCTGGTCTGGCTTGGTGCGCCACCCTCACACTTGGCCAAGCTAGACCAGATCCAGCGACGAGCCATCCACATCATCGGATCGGGCTCCTGGCTCCCTAGTCTATCTCTGCGGCGGACAGTGGCCTCGCTTGCATACTTGTACAAGCTATTCTGCCTAGATGCGGACAGCCCGCTAAAGAAGATCCTCCCCCCTGGTGCCCAACGTCGACCTCAGGACATACAGCCCACCCGCGTGTCTGCTCAGCCTACGCACCCACACCAGCTATCTACTAACCCGCCAGCACGCACCCGAAACAGCTGTCTTCGCGCATTTCCTGCCAGCGCTGTGCAGACATGGAATGCTCTGCCCCAAAGCATACTGCTGAGACCCCCACACCTGGAGGGCCTGCAAGCCTTTAGGTGCCGTGTCCACCGTCACCTCCAGCTGCACCACTGGAGCTGGGCGACTGAGAGCCTCTAGCAGACCTCTCACACCCACCTCAGCCGTAGTGCACACACCGCGTCTGAGACAGTGTCTTTATTGAAGTTTTTTCGCTAGCTTATATACTCTCCCTCGCTCTATGTTGCGGCACAGTAGCTCCCTTGTTCATGTAATAGCTGGCCTACTGTAACAATTATGACTTTGCTGGCCAAATAGCAGAGGCTGCAGTCACCTCACCAATCATCTCATATTTTCAATGTTCCTTTTATTTTCTCTCTCTCTCTCGCTCTCGCTCTCGCTCTCTCTCGCTCTCTCTCTCTCTCTCTCTCTCTCTCTCTCTCTCTCTCTCTCTCTCTCTCTCTCTCTCTCTCTCTCTCTCTCTCTCTCTCTCTCTCTCTCTCTCCTCCCCACCCACTCTTGGTGCGTCTAGGTGGCTATGAAGTCGAGACCCTAGGTCGGCGGAGCTCCCTAAACCTCACCACCACTGCCACGATTCAGGTTGTGCGTGCTTCCCCTAGCTGCATCTCATGTTTGGCATTAAGTGGTCTTTGTAAAAATAAAAATAAAATAAAAAACCATACAAACCTTATGGTGGGCAATTCCTCGAATTCTGCTCCATTTCTTTATCCACATACCAAACATGCATGAAACTTATCAGAAAAAGTACCGAATTCTGCCAATTTTTCTGCTGGCAGAATCCGCCGGACCCTACCGGGCACGTGGCACAGCCGTGTTCCAGTCACGCCAGTCTGCCTGATACAATAGAAAAGTCGTTATATTCAATGTATTTTCAGGTCTTCGAGCACCGAAAAAGTGACAGTAAATTCGATCTGTCGGTATTTTCGAGGTCTTTGTACCCGACCTAGAATGTACGGAAAGGGACCTGTTAATTTAAACGAATTGGCCAACAGAATCTTGCCGCTCAACTCGATTTGTCGTTATATCCAATCTCCACTGGATTTTTTATATGGATTTTACTTCTAGTCACAACTGGAGCAGACGGCATTGATCTAGAAATGCTATGCGCTTTCGGCAGTATGAAGCTCTGCACCACGAAAGCAATTAATCAGCGAGCGGAGTAAAGTAGATACATGTAAGTAAAATGAGATCCTGCAGCGCAAATGCAACATTATTTTGAATAATGAAGCTCTGGTTGCTTCTGGACAATGAGCTGAACACCATTCCTTTATAGCACGGGAACATTCTGAAGTGCAAAATACCATTGGTCGCAAAAGACAAAGGCGTAAATGTGCTACACTCAACTACACTCAACTACACTCAACTACACTCAACTACACTATTTAGCCGATTGTTGCCAAAACCTGAGATTTTCCGACATTTATCTAATATTGACTGAGTACGAGGTCAATATAGGAAATAAAAGCCGAGGTCTTTTACGAGGTTCTTATTTCCTATACTGACCAATTACGAAGTCAATATTAGATTTATCACGACAAACAGTCCGTATTTCAAATTCCAGAACGATAACCTCATGAATCCCGATTTTATGATTGCACAACCGTTGCACCACCACCTACTCATGCAGTGACAATGCTGCACTAGGCACCGTTCAACTGCGCAACCCCTACACTCAACTACACTCAACTACACTATTTAGCCGATTGTTGCCAAAACCTGAGATTTTCCGACATTTATCTAATATTGACTGAGTACGAGGTCAATATAGGAAATAAAAGCCGAGGTCTTTTACGAGGTTCTTATTTCCTATACTGACCAATTACGAAGTCAATATTAGATTTATCACGACAAACAGTCCGTATTTCAAATTCCAGAACGATAACCTCATGAATCCCGATTTTATGATTGCACAACCGTTGCACCACCACCTACTCATGCAGTGACAATGCTGCACTAGGCACCGTTCAACTGCGCAACCCCTAAGCAGTCAAATATAAGCAGTCAATATAGCCCTAAGGAGTGAAATATGCAGGAATATTTGACTGCTTAGGTATGGCAAAAATCTATGTGAGTCAATACTAAGGGAGTGATAAACAATACATGGTTAGCACTTTACCGTTCACGATATTTTCAACGGTCGACGTGTAGAGGGCGAGTCTACTGTTTTCAATGTGTTTTCGAGACACAGTTAGCAGTTCGGCTTCTGAGTCCTGACTCCTGACGCAATGATAGACGTGTGAGGTAATCCTAGTTGGAATCTTACCGTTTCGTTCTCCCGCTAAAAAGAGCTTTCTATCGGCGAAACGGTACCAAACCGACGGTATTTTGGGTTTGGGGTACGAGTGCCGTTGGATCTAGCGCGTGAACTGTAAAATGCCATGTCTACACACACAAAAAACGGTGCAGGCCGACCGTCGAAAATAGTGTGAACGGTAAAATGCTTACCATGTCTATTGTTCAGTACGAAACTCGTTATGCTGCTCAAACCTCACCTTATGCTCGTCTTGTTCCTTCTAATGCTCCATAATGCTCTGATGCTCGGATAGTCCCATAATGCCGAATACAATGCCGGCATTATCCGCTTGACCCTAGTTAGCAGGGCTGGCACTTTGCTATGAGTAGAGGTCTGAACAGGTCAATCCCCGGTCGGCAGGGGGGGGGGGGGGGTATAAAGGGAGACAGCTCGCATTTTGAAAGCAAAGGATTTCTAAGGATTTCAAGGGTCAATCTAGAGGGGAGAATCAACATGTAGAATGAAAATCAGTTGGCGTCAACCACGGTTATACATGGTCTTCACAACACACATCCATGACAACACGATCGCCTCACTGTTCTTTCCAGATCGCACCTCTTGGTTTGGGGATGTGCATTGAAGCACCCCATATTAACGGTCTATACTGTCCTCTCTTGGTCACCACTCTCCCTATTACCTTTATTGTAATTACTATTCATGTATTGCGCTTCAGGTTTTTTTCCGTTTTTGTCTTTTGGTGCGTTACCAGCATGGCGATCCTGAAACCTATTGGTCATTGGAGTGCCTGTAGCCTCACCAGCACTGCTACCACATGTATCTGTGACTGTGGCGACCTCCATTCAATGTCTCGTCCTCCTCTAACCGTACCCCAACTCTCTCTCTCTCTCAGCTCTCTTTTTATCTGTCTTTTCTTACTCTTTTTCTTTGTCAGCTTTCCTGGTGGTTATGTGCTTTTCAAGTAAATAAAAAAATATAAAAAAATGTCACTTCTCTGCGGTTGACGTCACAGTATAAGAATTAGCAGAGAAGTAGTGTTCTCTGTCCACCCGGGAACGGGTATGAGGGAGCACGGTGTGGGATAAAAGGGGGTGACGAGTGCAGGGTCGGCCTCTTTTGTCTTTGTGCGGAGAGTTTGTGCTGTGGTGGCCCCCACTGGCAATGTTCACGTGTTCAATAGTGGTGTTCACGTATGAGTGAGTGTGCGGATGTGTGCGCGACGAGTGAGTGCAGGGTGGACAGAGAAAAAAAACAACATACAGCCATGACAACACGCAGCCATAACAACATGCTGTCATGACAACACACAGCCATGACAGCACACAGCCATGACAACACACCGCCGTGCCAACACACAACCATGACAACATACAGCCATGACAGCACACAGCCATAACAACACGCTGTCATGACAACACACTGCCATGACAGCACACAGCCATGACAGCACACAGCCATGACAACACACAGCCGTGCCAACACACAACCATGACAACACACGGCCATGACAACACACAGCCATAACAACACGCTGTCATGATAACACACAGCCATGACAGCACACAGCCATGGCAACACGCAGTCATGATAACACACCCTAGAAGTAAATGGTCAAAGACATAATAATCCCATTTGCCTCATCCATGTTTCGCTCGTGTCACACACGCCCATGATAGAAGGAAAAGGATTTTTTTCTTTCTAAGTCCACTATGCTCCCGAATGAATGCGGAAAGTAGTGGCGGGGCCCTGCTGCTCAGCCGACCTTGGTGGTCTCGGCGTCTGCACAGACAAAGCGCGCCAAGAAAAATAGAGAAGGACATATTTGAGAGAGAGAAAAACAAGACGAGAGGAAGACATGTAGCAATATGATACGCAGGACACAGAGAGGCGGGGTACGACAGCGCAACATCAAACACCGATACTTAGCGAAGGCATGTGCAGGCGAAAGGAGAGTATTCAGCATGCACGTGTCACGGAAGGCATAATAATATTATGTAAGCAAAGAAATGCATGCACAGTTTCCTTGGAGACAAGAGCGCAAACACTTCTTCCTCCTCCTCAGTATGAAAGAAATGCACGTAGCAGATAAACACACGGGCAGCAAGCCATGCTTCCCAGCAGGCAGACCTGGCCCAAGGCAACTTATTTAAAATCAGAGAAAACATCGTCATACTCACTAGCTGAGGGAAGGGCAAAGAGAAAAATCTGTATGAAAATTGAATGTCACCACCAGGACAAGAACCAGGGACCCTCGGCCCTCGCTTGTGGCCAGCGATGCTCTAACCACTGAGCTATGGTGTAGCCGTCATCCCAGCATAGACCGTTCAACATTTTCTTCCGACTTCGAACATAGAATGGCAAAGAGATAACAGTCACATGTATTCTACTAGGTATGCAGAGTAATGCAGAGCAATGCAGAGCGATGCAGAGTAATGCAGAGCAATTCAGAGTAATGCAGAGTAATGCAGAGCAATGCAGCGCGCAGTTTCGCAAGAACAAACCGCAGAAGACGACTATGCCGCAGACATCTGGTGACCTTCGCGTAGTGCACCTGGGTAGTTGCCATGGTGACTTCACGACACTGCTCAGTTGTACGAAGCCTCCCTTAAATGACAATAATGAGAAAACACACATACATACATGCGCACACACACGCACACATACGCACGCGCACGCACACACACACACAAACATGCATGCATGCACACACGCATGCAAACGTGTACGCACAAACACATACACCCGCATGCATGCACACACACACACAGACAAATACAACGTATGCAGGTGGAATGAATGCAACAACATTGGAGGACAGTTAGATGGCGAGCACTGCAATCGTCAAAGATTTGCACAGATGCCAGCAGAGATGCCAGCAGAGATGCCAGCACAGATGCCAGCACAGATGCCAGCACAGATGCCAGCAAAGATGCCAGCAGAGATGCCAGGAGAGATGCCAGCAGAGATGCAGGGACACGAACCAATACATTATTTTTATGGAAATCGCACGGGGTGCATGCAAGCCAGTTTGGAAAAGGTGGTAGGAGGCAATATACGGGAGGAGGTACATAGGGTCATGTTTGATTGGTAGGATCGGGATCCTGATCAACCGGATCCACTGGATTCGCACAATTTCGATTGATCGAATCCAGATCCGGATCCTTTGGATTGGGATCCGGTGAACCCACCTCGGGGAGCAGGGTTGACCGGATCCAACAGATCCAAATGTGACCTTTGTGCGTATATGGCGGGTAAAACTCACTTTTTTACACCTTTGACGCCCCATCTCCAGTGGAGATGATAGGCTACTGAGTTGGGCAGTACTTGATGTGACGCTTCAAATCGTCACTTCTCCTAAACGCTCTACCGCATGCGCAGTGAAAGTCCTTCGGTGCCGGGGGAGGAAGGCGATGTTGATGGACCCGCCTGCGTCATACCGGGCGATCTTGTGCGAGCCGATACCACTCGAACTCCGGAATATCCAGCGAGCGCAGATCACCGACAATCGTGTCTCGCCAACGCTTCTTTTGTACACATTGTGGTACGCACACACGTCGCTCGAGATACTCCTGTTGACTTTTCGTACAACACGTGCGCCACGAATACGACGTTCACCCTTTTGGGTGACCCGTGAGTGCCACTTTATTACTTCACCAACATGGCAAGAGTCAAGGACCAAAACAAAGTGTTCAGTGGACTCTGAAGGATTCGACGGATCTGAGATCTGGATCCTACCAATCGAACATGCCCTAACACAAGCATTTCTCATACTTACATCAGCTCTTTCTTTATTGCGTCTGTGTTCTGCGGTGCACATGCTCTGAGCATCTCAAACAAATCATGTATAGTCATCTCTCCATTCTTGACGATCAGATAGTAGATGATGCACATCAAGTTCTCTTGGCCCTCCCCCGGGCCATTGATGGATTCCTTGTTGGTCTTATAAAAACCACTCAGTACGTTATGCGAATTGTTCTTACGGCTTGGTTCCACAGCCTCGACTGCTTTGCGACCGAAGCCTCCTGTGAGATTTTTAGCCGCACACATAGAACAACAGGTTATCCTTCAAACCACAAAACTCAAAGAGAATTACCGCCGATGTCGCAAAATCCTAGTTCGAATTCTCAAAAAACTTTTCAAACTTAAACTCGGATGGTGAGCCAATGTATCATACATGTACTGTACTTCAAGTATTACAAAAATAATTGAGAGGATTTGAATCGTTTTTATCAAAATCTAAATATTTGCCGGGTTGGAAGGTGGGAATCAAAAAAATCATCATCATTATCCAGTAACCATTGTCATTTTTTGTTGCTGAGGGTCGTAGCTGGTTCTAATTTCGGCGTTACGCTTTCCTTCCTCTCATTGAGTGATTCCTAACCTGAGCTGTCCAAGTTGGAAGGTGATTAGTTTGCATGCTGTAGAATGTGTTGTAGCTATGTTAGGTGTCAAGTTGGTAAATGTCTCTCTACAGTACTACTACATGTATGTGTTTGTTTCTTCCTTTGCACTCATGCATTTGGCAGGTTTAGACTTGAGATCTGGGAATGGTCCAGCCTGGAAAGCTCAAGGTTATGCTAGGATCAAAGATGGGAAGGTGAGCACAGCGAAAATTGTGTGCAGGCTATGTCCCATGGCAACAACGAATATCGGCTGTTACAGGAAGATGACGAGACCAGTCAATAACTTGACAATGCGGTCCAACTACAATTCGAAGGGGCAAAGGAACACACCACCCAACTTGGGTGGGTCAGATATATATTTTTTACTGGCTCAGTTTCCGAGTTCATTTAAAAATTACTTCCGTTTGTCAAACATTTTTTTAGCACACTCAAAATCCTCTTGTACGGGCAAAAACCCAAATGGATTACAATGCATTATAAAACTGGAGAAGAAATCAAGGAAAAATGCAATAAAAACAGAAGAAATCACGTGGAAACGAGTTATGAAGCAACTATCCACGACTGTAACAAGATAACACGCAGTTAGAAAGTGTGATCACATAACAAAACTTGCTGACTGCGTATCATCTTGTGACGGTCGCGTATAGTTGCTTCTTAACTCGTTTCCATGTGATTTCTTCTATTCCAATTATTTACTGGCTCAGTATCCAAGTTAAATTTGCAAAGTACTTACTCTTTTCAGTGTTATTGAAGAAATCTTGAAGGTTCTCAACAAATGTTGTGTGGTCGTCGATATCTTTAAGGCGTTTCGAACTACATAGAGAAGCAAGATGAACACACAGCATACAGTGGAATCAGCAGTATCACCTTCTCTTCACCATCTCTCCTCCTCTCCTCGCTGCACTTTCAGCAAACACGTACTTACACTCGTCAGCCATTAGCCTACACGCTTGTAAAACCTCTCTGCACCATGCCGCCGGGCATTGCTCTGAGCCGCCATATCCACCATACTGTAAGACCAGTAGTGCTAACGAGCATTTAGTTTTAATTCTAAAGATTAAACGAATTTAAGAAAATCATTTTAACATTTGAAGTCGTTATGTGCAAAACGATACGTACATGTACAATCATCTGTTTGTTTTGAGAGATAATTAGTTAGAACTTCACCTCGCTAACCCACAAAAATCCGGAGATCGTTAACTTTAATTGACGTTAAAAGATCTGGTCTTACAGTACATATATTACTGTGCAGACAACGTAAATCTTCATCAAGCACAGGCTACTGTTTGGCCACTGCACACAGTGCTTACATCTCTCAATACCCTACGCTGTAGATAGCAAGCTACCCTTAATTTTATTTATCGCCGTGGTTGGCAATCACCCACTCTCTTAACATTGGCCGGTGTTTCCACCGAGTCTTGAGATGTTGTACTTCGTCCGGCTCATCGCAATTGTCGCTTATCTATCGCCACTAAGAACAGGAGTTTTTTTACCGCTCTGTGAAATTTCCAACAGGCATAGTGAGGAAGCATGATACATGAATACTCTCCGCCACAAGAAAAAATTTCAAAATTTCAGCAATGGAATCAGGTGAAGCGAGTCGAAGAAAGGAAGCAAGGTAAGCAAAATGCACAAAATAAATCAGCGAAGAAGCGCGTTCTTGCACTCACACTAGTAATACAGGTCCAGAGTTCACTCAACTCTGCATCTCTCGAGCCATGCCGTTACATGAGCTGACATTTGCTGGTTTCTAGATGCTAGCTGGCGTAGACTGGTAGAGTATCTCTTGCGTTCTCAGCCTTTCGTATTTATATGGCAGCAATGGGAAAGAAACAGTTGTGGCTGTCACTTCGGTGCTTAAAGGAACCGTGGGCAGTGTGACCTGTGTGTCACCACAGTGTGTTTCAACAAAGTCTTCGAATGAGGCATACAGGCCTCTCCAGACAGCTGTCATACGCTCCGCTGGATATACTGGCCACGACTCTTGTAATGCGGCTGCTACGTCCACCAAGCGAAGGAACAACCAACACGTCGGCCGGGCGCATCCCATCAAAAACACCTTTCTTCTTCAGCATGACGCTCATACTCATGTTCCGTGCACGCGTGCCTGTCACGCTCTCCAGGCCAGGATGTCAGTTGCCCCTGCTACAGTTCCGGTCTTCGGGTCGCTGCGTTTGGCTTTTGCAAGTTTTGGCAACACAGACAGTGAATGGCCAGATTCCCACTTCCCAAAAAAAGTCGAATACATCGCGATTCAAAGCGCTAGTCGCGATCATTTTTCTTTGGTGCTTCCTTTGATCTTGCCATCACGATCTCCCACGCAAACTTAAGTTAGATATCGTGATTGGACTGGGTTTTACCTGTCAAAAAGTGCTTGGGGGATAAGCGACAATTGCGATGAGCCGGACCAAGTAATAAATATAAATATAAAAGCTGTTTCGGCCAGAAAGGCCAAATCGGTACAGCTACGAGCTTTAAGCAGGCCGAGCTATCAGCCACGGTGCAAAGGAGGCACCACAGACATTAAGATAGCTTGTCGCTCTAGCGCCAGAGTGCTCCAAATAGGAAAAGTAGCGGGCATTGCATGATGCAGCAGCATTAGAGAACTCAGTACTAGTGAGAGTGCAAAACAAGACGAATGCCGAGGAGTGTAGTACCCAATGCTGTAGACAGCAAGCTGTTTCAGCCATATCTCTCAATACAGTATGGAGAACTTTCAAATACCCTGTTCTCCATACATGTACTGCAAAAAACTAAGAAAACTACCCCTTTACGACACTGCATCCTGACTCCCACACGGAGGTCTGTCTTCGGGGTCGCTTGCACCACCTACTATCGGTCGCCAAATCATTCGAAATAGCATCGACACTATTGCTTTCACGCACTCCTTTTGCCCTAGATGCATGCTATGACGTTGGAGAGGGTGCGGCGCGGCCGCATGACGTCATGGCGCAGCCCCTGAAACTCAGCTTTTCAAACGGAAGCATCTCAAGAATGCTTTGTCGGAGACTCGTGGGACCAACACCGTCCGACTCATCGCCTGAAACTCTACGGACTCTGATATTAAAAAAATTCATCAGACTTCCCCTTCAAAGGAGAAGTATAGCCTAAAATCAAATTTTCACCAGTTCCGGGTGCTGAGGCAAATGGTCTTGGTCCGAGGAAGCTGAGACGTTCCCTTTTTTGCATGCAAAATGTCACTAAAAGCGCCATTAATTTCGTTCTTAAAAAGCACGGATGACCGCGATTGCCCATATGGTGTAGTCTTTTGAACGCTGAGTTGACTGGCTTTGGTCCGAAAAGGCTGCAATGCAGCGTCCGGCCCTTATTCCCAATCGAACACGGGTGACTAAGCGGGCACATGCTCTTGTGTACACCAATCACCTGGTCACCGTCTCTGCAGGCTAAAACTTTCACATCAAGGTTCAACTCAAAGGTTGTAAGGTTTAACTTGAGTGACACGAACCTGCCCAAACAGGCTGTAAGTTGTAGCCTGCAGGTGACTGATGCACGCACGAGCTTGTGACCGCGCTTCCTCAACCGTGTTCGATTGGGAATAAGGGCCGAACGCTGCATCGCAAGGTGACATTTTGCATACAAATCCCCATCTAGTAGGGCACAGTTACCCAGTTTCGGTGGAAGTGGCGAGTTGGATTGGGAATAAAGGAGGAAGGGAGCGTCTCAGCTTCCTCGGACCAAGACCATTCGACTCAGCAACCCGAAGACCACAACTGGTGAAAATTTGATTTTAGGCTATACTTACCCTCAAAGGTGGACTTACCCTATGGGGCCCAGTGGGCGGGCAACGGGGCGAGCTGTTGTCGGATCTGAGTACAGATGTGCACACAAACACATCACCTCCGCTTGCTCAATATCAAACGTCGCTCTGATTAGTCACAACTCAGTCACAACTCAGAATTGTAGAACTGCGGAATGTGCATGAGTGTGCACAAACGTGCAGGCACGCACCCCCCCCCCCCCCCCACACACACGCCCCCCCCCCCCACACACACAAGCACCCCCTCCCCCCCCCCCCACACACACGCACACACACGTGCGCGTTTGCTCCAATCATGTTCAGTGAAGTAGCAATGCATGTACGCCAGCACACACACACACACACACACACACACACACACACACACACACACACACACACGCACACGCATACACACGCATACACACACACACACACGGACCATTTGACCCCCATCGCCAGAGGCGATGATAGCGATGCTACAGCAGAAGCCATAGCAACTTGTGCTAGGATTGCATCATTCAACAGCTTGCAAGGCTGAGGAATTGACCGCCACTATTCAGCCTGGTCTGCACCACACAGCTACGAAGTCGCTTTTTTGGGCAGTGAATCCCTACACACACACACACACACACACACACACACACACACACACACACACACACACACACACACACACACACACACACACACACACACACACACAAGCATACACACACACACACACACACACACACACACACACACACACACACACACACACACACACACATACACACATACACACACACGCACTTGCATACAAAGAGGATTTTTGGTATCATACCTGCGACAGGTTCGTCCTGGCCGTCACTGAAACACCCACACGCACGCACATGCACACACGCACATGCACACACGCGTGCATATACACACACACATACATGTACATACACACATACATACACACGCACTCATACAAAACACACACAGAGCAACGGAAAACGATTCGTTATGGCAGTAGACAAAGTGTCTGAAGTCCTTGCTGCAAATAGTGCTCTATACACTAACAATGGCAGAGCGTACTACAGTAGAGACCAAATTGATTTCTCGTGACTCAGAAACACTTGATCCAGAATTCATTAGTGACTAGGTAGATGATATCAAGAGTATAAACCCCCCACCCCAAGAGCGTGCAACTCGACTATGGGTGCTGTCCCGACAGAATTTCAAGTTGACGTCATTTTTATGATGCAATGCGCACTGCACACGGATTATCAGACAAATCCGGAACCTGTGGTGGACCAAAGCCCATCTGATCCTGTACAAATTATTGCAAAGAAAAGCGTGTGATGCACTACATCGGGAGTAGCCGGCGCACGACCCCGTCTCCTGTTCTCGCTCCACATATACTGGCATACACAGAGACATAGACAGCAATAGCGACAACACACAAAGTGAAGGGTAGTTGGCCGCAGCCAGAACTGGTGAGACTCAAAACTGACTGAAGAAGTCAGGAAAAGAAGCGACAATAAAGAACACACCAGATGCCATATTTGCAACTGAAAATATTTCGCGAGAAATCATTTCTCGCCTATCTCGCTGCGTTCGGCCGGCCAGAAATACAATTTCACACTCAAAAAGCAGCCGTTTTGCACGCTTGCGTTGCCGTCTACGCCCGTCTACGGTATGAAAATATGAACTAATCCAACTTTTCCCGTCGCTTCCCGATTCGTACGGTAGTACTGTTGCGTTCCCGTTCCTGGTGTTCACATTGGACGGCGGCAGACCGTGCCGTCGATCATTAGTTCACGTCTTGCCGCGCCCTGTCGAATGTGAACTAGACTTTAAAAAAGGCTTACTCACTTGGTCTTCTGCTACATGTACTGTATCAGCTTGAGAAAGAAATTTGAAGAAGACGAGTTTGAGCATACAACATTGTATTGCCATAACTTTTACCCTGCTTTTCATTGGAAACACTATCGGCATGACCTCCAAACCCTTTACCATGCAGACCACCAGCACTGATCAGGTGCATTGTACACAATTGTGTAGCCTACCGGTACATACTAGAACTGCGGTATAATCATGTAGCTATGCTCCTACCTCCGAAAGGATGCCAAATAATGCTCTAAATTTTCAACCACCAAATTATGCCAATGATTATGCCGGTATAGTCCGCCAGAGCCTACAGGGACGTCCAGGGGTGGGGGAGAGATAGGAGCAGCGGAGATTGGCTAGTGGTATTTTTTTGGTATTTTACTGTCTGCACTTCATGGCACATAATGAAAATAGCCAATACAAGGAAGTGAGGGTGAAACCAACCACGGACTGGGGGCAAACAAATTAATGAAAATTAAAGAGAAGAAAAAAATATAAAAATAAATAAAATATACATAATCTACGAATCTACGTGGAGATAATAATTTTAATATAGCTATGAATAGCCTTCATCCTATTCATAGCTATATAAATAAAATCAGATGCATTTTAGTGCATTTCAAAATTATAGACTTCTAGACTTTTTCGAATGATTCAAATTTGGTTTGAGCTATTTGAGAAATTTCTGCGGAATACTGCTCAGGCAGCTCCCGTAATTTTTCCCATAAGAATATTATACTGTACAGACAGAAAATTTCGTCGGTCAATAATTTCGTCCAACTCCAAAGCAAGGGAGTTCGTCCGGTTGTAAATTTCGTCCATGGATAATAAGAATGTATTGATAAGCTGGACAAATCGACATTTAGTCCGGCATTTATTTTAGTCCAAAAGCTCCTTGGACGGAAAAGACGAAATTATATTCCAGACGAACATTTCTCTCATAATTATGCACATCCTCGGCTGCAGAGCCAGTATTGTCAGGCGTTCCTCAAGGATAAATTCTTGGTCCCCTACTATTTATAATTTACGTAAACGATTTACCTGCAGTCTTCCCTGGAACGTCTCTGTTTGCTGACGACACGACCCTTTTCACCTCATCAGCTTCCCTCACTGGCCCGAAAAACAACTTGCGTGCCGGCATTCAGGAAGTTCTTTCCTGGATGTCGTCCTGGAGATTGTCCCCAAATCTATCAAAAACAAAGATCATGCTCTTCCCGCCCCAGCCAAAGTTCACAACCCTCATCCATGCCAACTTTCCAAATCCAATTGTCATAGTGTCTTCTCACAAACACCTTGGCATTGTGATTGACTCTGCACTCTCTTGGGTACCCCACATCGAATATATCTGTAAAAGATCAAGTAAATCCTTAGGAATTCTCTCCCCGCACTGCTCCTACCTCCCACTTTCTTGCAAGCTTCATTTTTATTTAGCCTACCTTCGCCCAATATTTGATTATGCCGATACGTCTTGGGTTGGATTATCCTCTTCCGCTGCTGCAAAGCTTGAAATACACCACAAGAAAATCCTTAAAATTCTCCTCCATCAACCCCGCATGCTCTCATCATCCGCCCTTTATAAAATCGCTCACACAACCCCGTTATCACATGGACGCACTTCACACCTGGCTTCTCTTGTCCATTCCATTAAGCTCGAGTTGTGCCCACCTCATCTCATGTGTTATAATTGGTTCTCTTCTCTAAGAACTAGAAACTCGCTCTTACTCCCTAAGTGTAACTCATCCACTCTTTTGCGCTCCCCTCTCTTTATTGCTTATTCTGTTTGGCTCACTCTACCCAGAGAAGTTAAAGGGGAAGTTAAGGCAAAAATTAAAATTTCACCAGTTGTAGTCTTCGGGGTGCTGAGTCGAATGGTCGTGGTCCGAGGAAGCTGAGACGCACACTTCCTACTTGAATCCCAATCGAACTCGCGCACTTCCACCGAAACTGGGTGACTGCGCCCTACTAGATGGGGATTTGTATGCAAAATGTCACTAAAAGCGTCATTTCGTTCTTATAAAAGCACGGATGACCGCGATTGGCCCAAATGTTGTAGTCTTTTGGACGCTGAGTCGACTGGTTTTGGTCCGAAAAGGCTGCGATGCAGCGTTCCTCCTTTATTCCCAATCGAACATGGTTGAACAAGAGGTCACGTGCTCCTGCGTACGCCAGTCACCTGGTCACCGTGCCTGCAGGGTACAACTTACTAGCCTGTTTGACCTTTTTTGGGTGCAGTCCTGTCACTCGAGTTGAACTCGAGTTGAACCTTGGTGTGAAAGTTGTCGCCTGCTGGCGTGGTGACCAGGTGATTTGGGCACCCAGGAGCACGTGACCGCTTCTTCAACCATGTTCGATTGGGAATAAAGGAGGAACGCTGCATCGCAGGCTTTTCGGACCAAAACCAATCGACTCAGCGTCCAAAAGACTACAACATATGGGCCAATCGCGGCCATCCATGCTTTTATAAGAACGAAATGGCGCTTTTAGTGACATTTTGCATACAAATCCCCATCTAGTAGAGCGCAGTCACCCAGTTTCGGTGGAAGTGCGCGAGTTCGATTGGGATTCAAGTAGGAAGGGAGCGTCTCAGCTTTCTCGGACCAAGACCATTCGACTCAGCACCCCGAAGACTACAACTGGTGAAATTTTAATTTTTGCCTTAACTTCCCCTTTAAGAATCTGACCTCACTCCGCCTGTTTAAGATCCGTGCCGCCCCTTATTTACTACGACATAAATAGCTCATTATCCACATGTCCTTTGCGTCTGTGTGTTTTTCACTGTTTTTATTTGAAATTATCTTTCTTTCCGGAGTTGTTGGTGCTGTTCATTTTGCTACTCTTTCTTTTTCCCTCCTCTTACTTTTATTTATCGCCGTGATTAGCAATCACCCACTCTCTTAACATTGGTCGGTGTTTCCACCGAGTCTTGAGATGTTGTAACTAGAGAGCTTGGAAGGTCAGGGCCCTACGCTATGCTTTTTTGCCTTGATAACCTAGGCAAAAACAAAAATTGGGATGTTATAAATTTTTCATGTCTCCTATTTTTTTTGTTAAGACATAACCTGGGATTCGAACCCGCACTATCGCCCTGCATGCATCCCCCGATACACTTCGCATACATACTAATTCTTCCGAGTTGCTTCACGTTATGATCTTGCATTTGAAAGCCCTATTCGAATATCGTGGCCAGCTGTTTGTGGCCAGCCGTCTTTGATGGTACGGTACGGTACGGGACAGATACGGTCGAGGTAATACGCCACCGTCTACCACCTTGATTGATGATGATCTAGGCAAAAAAAGCATAGGGATGTTTTCAATTCTCCCATTTTTTTAATGGCATAACCTGGGATTCGAACCCGCGCTATCGCCCTACCTGCATTCCCCAATACACTTCGCATTCATAATCATTCTTTCAAGTTGCTTCACGTTATGATCTTGCATTTGAAAGCCCTATTTGAATATTGTGGCCAGCTGTTTGTGGCCAGCTATGTGGTACGGTACGGGACACATACGGGATAGCGCCAAGCGTGACACAAACACACAAACAAATACCAAATTAAAGCTGTGTAGACCCTGGCTAGCGCCAGACGTTACTGAAGTAACGTCTTCTGCATAGCTACGGGAATAATATTTCTGCTTATAAAGTACTTCATCCGCGTCATTAAAATTGTCGCTTCGCGCATCGCAATGTTTGTGACTTGGCTCGTCTTAGTCAGACTGTCGGAATCGCTGTTTTCTGTGTTCGAACATTGGTTCGACCTTTCCTGCGCAATGTCTAGTTGTTACTGAAGCCTTGGTGGTTTAGGACTTTGTCGGACCTCTCTTCCGCACCAAGCAAGTTCATCGCGCTCCGCACTATTCCGCCCCGGAGCGCATATCGTTTTTCTGGAGTTCGTGCCGTCCCACATCGCTCCTTGGGCATCTATCAAGACTGCAAGCTCGAGTATAAGAATCCTGGTATCTCTCCTGAATACGAAATGCTGAAGTGGACGGTGGCAAGAACAAAGTGTTCTAAAATTCCTAAATTGCGATACTTGTGGCGCATGTTGCTGCTAAAGTAGCAGGTCTGAATACGCCAACAAAATCAGCGAAGCGCTTGCCGAGGTAAGAAGATACGGAACTGTTTACCCTATCCCGCTGGAAGGTCGTTACAGTGTACTTGAAAAATGCTAGCTTGCCTTCATTGCCTGCCACTTGGAGGCATGGATCGCTTGAAAACGAAGTTCATTGACCTGAATTTGAACGCGCGTCTTGTTCAGCGTGTTGAGTGCTGAAGGGTCTGCCTCAAACTCTGATGAAGACGTCGACCTTAGCTGCAAGTGAAGCGATGGGGGAGGCCACAAACTAAAGCTTGGTTCGTCGATAATGCTCTGCCTCAATTTCTAGTTGATTTCTTTGCCCTTCGAGTGGAAAAAATAAATTCAAAGAATCACTCTGGGAAGCGACAATTTTAATGACGCGGAGGAAGTATAAAGTATAATAGGTAAATTTCTAAGCGATCGGATAACAAACGCCCAATTTCGGGAAATTTATGCACAAAGTGATAACAGATTTATGTGGTATAGATGCTAGCCTAATGTTTTTTTAAATCAGAGATCGAGACACACTATAGTACATATCCGCTCATCTGCATTATCACTACTTCAAGTACATTGTTACACACGTTGGCACTCAAACAATCTAACAATCCCACACACACACCTACACCCACAAAAACAAACACACACACCTATCCTGTCCTGAACATTGCCGTAAAACGGTCACATGTCCCCTCATACGAGGGGCCGACAGACATGGGTTGGGTTGGGTTGGATGAGTACGGTACGCAGTACGCTCCGTTAAATCGGCAGCACATGCCACATGTCCCCTCATACGAGGGGCCGGCAGACATGGAGTAGGTTGGTTGAGTACGGTACGCTCCGTTAAATTGGCAGCACCTGCCACATGAGCTGAAATGAGCCTGGCAGCAGGGTAGTGATAGCTGAGTCCTCACTGGCACCGGTACTGCCGCAACCGAGTGGGCGTAGACAAAGAAGGGCCATCCACTGGGCACGGAGAGCAATCGTCGTCCGGTGATGGGCATCACGCATACGCACGCACTCCCCCCCCCCCCCCCCACACACACATAATACATACTTACTCTCTGGGCTCCGCACTCCTCATTCCTTCGCTTCCAGGGTGAAAGAAGTGGAGTTTCCCAAAGTTGGGCTCCATAGCTCTGAATTCTGCACATTACACAGCAAGAACATAAAAAAAAACGTTTTTCTGAGTGCACAGTAAGCAAAAGTAAAGAAGAACTCGCGTGTGCATGCGCCCACATACATACACACAAACACCCACACACAACATGCCCACGAACAAAGACAAACATGCACACACACACACACACACGCACACCCCCCCCCCCCCACACACGCACCCCCCCCCCCACACACGCATACATACATACTTACGCGGGCGCACGCATGCACACACACACACACGCACCCCCCCCCACACACACACATGACCGTATGTGCATGTCCTGTACATGTTTACGTGTGTGTGTGTGTGTGTGTGTGTGTGTGTATGTGTGTGTGCGTGCGCGTAAGTATGTATACATAAGTATGTATGCGTGTGGGGGGGGGGGGGCGTGTGTGTGTGCGTGTGCGCACTCGTGTGTGTGTGTGTGTGGAGGGGGGGGTAAGTGTTTGTGTCTTGTGCTTCAAGTTGGAGTCTAACTGTGAGCGTTCAGAAGACCAAGGCCATGGCGGTGAACTGCTCTGACCCGCCAACTTCCATTGACTTTCAGGATGGAGGGAGCATGGAGGTTGTGGACAGCTTCACCTATCTTGGCAGCGTCCTGAGTGCAGACGGCGCTCTGGACAAGGAGCTCACCTCCCGCCTTGCCAAGGCCTCACGTGCTTTTGGCGCTCTCCGGAAGTCTATCTTCCAGTTTAATGGTCTAATGTACTTTCATAAATTTTCGGTGTACCTTTATTTTCGGTACTTTCGGTGTGTCTGTTTCACACCTAAAATTTCAATACACAGAACCAACACTAACACACGTAATCCAATAGGGAACTGTTTCTCTGTACCTAAATTTTCTGTTCACCCAACCTGGCCTTTTGCCCTCATGCCGAAGATATTGAGCACCGAACATTTCTGAAATTAGAGTATCCATCAAGTCAAAGCGTCTCGTATACTAGGCCATTGTCCTCCCTACCCTATTCTACGTGGTAGAGAGCTGGCCTGTGGAGGCCCGGCAGATGAATCGCCTGGGTGTTTTACACCGCTCGTGCTCTCGTTCCATTCTTGGACTGTCAAGTAGCGATCAGCACTGCCGTCGTCTTACTACTGCTGACCTCGCCCAGAGAGCGCGTCTTCCTGAAAACATTGGCACTGGACTCTCTTGCATGAGTACCGCCTGAGTTGGCTGGGTCATGTTGCCCGTATGAACGCGGCCCGGATTCCGCAACAAGTGTTGTTTGGGCAGCTTGAGGCAACCAGTCCACGGAATGGACCAAAGAAGCGTTGGCGGGACACGATTGTTGGTGATTTGCAGTCACTGGATAGTACGGAGTCCAAGTGGTGCAAGCTCGCACAGGATCTCCCAGAATGGCGCGTGCGGGTCCATCAGAATCGTCTTCCTCTCCCCGTACCCAAGGACTTCCACTGCGCATGCGGCAGAGCGTTCAGGAGAAGTGGAGATTCGAAGCGCCACCTCAAATACTGCCCAACTCAGCACCCTAGCATAGTGTCAAAAGCCAAGGTCAAAATTAATGTGTGTGTGTATGTATGTGTGTGTGTGTGTGCTCTCATCTGTAAAGGTGTGCGCACGCCTGTGTGTGTATACTCCTCGTGCTCCTTCCAAGGCATTATTTTATCTGGGTCGGCACACGTTGTGAGCCAGCTGGAACCTTAGGGTGTGTGAGCGGACAACACACTCCGTGCACCGTTCTAACCCAAAAATTGCCAGCAGCCACACTGAGCACATTCACAAGACGCAGAGACTGTATACGGCCCTCCGTGTGCTGTGGAGGCCTTCTAGTAATTTCAATATCTTCCTGCTGTATTTTTGCTGTGGGTATGTAATACAATATATGCCTGCACCTTTCTGGTTCATACACGACTGAATAATAGCCGGCAGGCACGGTATAATAACCCTTTTTCATATTTACAATCGCTATTCACCTCAAATGTATATCTGAGAACTGTGCTACATCGACGATCCTGAATGGGGGCGGGGCGACTCTGGATAGGGGGGGGGGGAACTACCCTGGATGGGAGGGGGCATGTACCCCAAGGTACCCGCCGGGATCTACACTGCGTGCGTTTGCGCTTGTGACCGCTCGTGTGTCTCTTAGGGATTGTGTCTACTAGGTTTTAGGGGTTTGATGGGGTGTGTGATGAGGGCGTGATGGGGTGTGATGGGGTCTGGTGTGATGGGTGTGACGGGGGGGGGGGGGGGGGTGTGATGTGATGGGTGTGACGGGCGGGGGGGGGGGGGGGTGTGTGATGTGATGGGTGTGATGTGATGGGGTGCAGGGGACACGATAAGATTTCGAAATTGCTCTGACACAATGTCCTGCCACTTCTGGAACCGGTCGGACATGGCCGGACACTGTGATTTTTTTACAAGTCTGGTACTCATAATAAAAAATAATTATTATTGTCACTGAAGTTTACTTGTGAGTTTGAATCCTCTAGTAAATTGTCCTTCTTGGCCGTTCTTGTAGAGAAGTCTGGTATGGGTGGTGTAATTACATCAGTGTACCGGAAACCAACGTTCACCGGCTTGTACATTGTTTGGAACTCGTTTACTGCGAGGTCGTACACAATTAATCTCGTTATCTAGTGGATCTTGCTCGTCGATTATGTTCGCCTTCAAAGTTGGATGAGGAGCTGGAGCGGCTACGCACTTTGTTTAATTATTATTGTCTTCACCAATTTCACACACGACACCACTGCATAATGCACACATGCATGTACATGCTACATCACACTGCGGTATTGCTGGTCACATCAAGGATGATCATCACACAGATCTCAAGTAGTGTAACACTGATTCAAATCGCTGTGCGTTTTTCAGCAAACATAGCAACTGTGATATGAGCGTGCAGTGTTTCTGCACATTTCAGATTTGAGCTGGTTTTTCACGCGGCGGCAGATCAAAGATATTCATTTTTACGCAGTCGACAAAAGACAAGATGGGCACCTGCTTGCCCATTCTAACTCAGTCTTGTTGCCAGCTCCAAGATTGACAACATGTGACTATCACTACTCGAGTTGGCTGAAGGCTCCCATCTTTGCAAACGCGATGTGCTCTTTGAACAGCACGTAGTTTCTACGCGACGTTGAATTTCTGACTAACCTTCGCTGCTGCTGCTCCGTCGATCTTGCACAGCGCCTGTGCAACAGGAGCGTAATTGACTGGATTTGCAGTAGACTGCTCCTTTCGATAGACGCATATCGCAAGCTGGCACACATTTCTGACGCCTTGTTTCCCTGGAACAGGGACGTTTTCAATATTTCGGATTGTACAAGCGTCTCGCGTAATAGTTCCTATTGTAGCGAGAAAGCGAAGAAATTTCATTTCAAAACTCCTCGATCGTTTTCTACGCTCAAACTGGAGCTACACTGAAGTGGACAGCTCCCTGTCTTGCTGTGAAGCCCTCTTGTCAAAGGTTGCTGCTCCGACTTCGTGAGACTTCTTCCCAGGCAGAGCGCCATGGTCCTCAGCCGTTCTCTTTCCCAGCGACGCTATTTTGTGAATTTCGAACGGACAAATTGTCCGTTCAAGAAGAAAAGCGCCGGATTCGAATCGAAAATGGTCGGAAAATGTCCGATGTCCGACCGTTATCGTGTCCCCTGGGGTGTGTGATGAGTTGTGTGAGGGGGGGGGGGGGGAGCGTGATGGGGTGTGATGGGGGGGGGGGGCATGATGGGGTGTGGGGGGGGGGGGGGGATAGGTGTGTGATGTGATGGAGGCGTGGTGTGATGGGTGTGTGATGGGGGCGTGGTGTGTGTATGTGTGTGTGTGTGCGCGTTTGTGTGTGTGGGTGAGTGGGGGGGGGGGGGTGGTGTGTGCACGTGCGCGCGTGCGTGTGTGGGAGGGGGGGGGGGGTGGTGTGTGTGGTGTGTGCGTGGGTGTGCGGGGGGGGGGGGGGGGGAGTGGTGGTGTGTGCACGTGCGCACGTGCGTGCGTGTGTGCGCGTGCGTGTGGGCGTGCGTGTGACGTGGGTTATGTACTGTATGTGGTGTAACTTACTTTCCGTGGAAATCTTCTCAGCTTTCTTTGGAACTGCCTTCTTGGATGAGATCCACGTCAGCATGTCTCGGTAGACCTCCCGGAACCGCACTGCTACATTGCAGTACAAAGCTTCTTCTGCACCTGCAAACTCCCAGTATCCCGCGTGGATGCCATGAACCTTGAACTCTTCAGGCGTAGCACCATAGGAGTATACGGGCGAGCCGCTCTGTCCACCGCTTGAATCAATGTAGTGACGGTAGAGTCGCTTGACAACAAGATACTGATCACTCCTGCTTTTGTTCTTTCCGTCGCCCTTGTCATTCAAATGACGCTGTGGCATGGCGAATAGTGCAGAGGTCCTTCTCTCCAACTTCTGTCGCTCTTGAATGGCAATACCCTCGTCCAGCGGCTCGGCTTTCTCGGATTTTGAGGTATGCACCCAGTACATGTGACCTAGCACGTACTTCTCTACGTTCTCTCTCCCTACTAGACCTGGAAACCCGCACAGGAACGTTTGGTCAACGAACTCCTTACGTTCTTTTCCTGGCTCCTGCAGCATTGCATTATCAGCCAACAGTTTGTCCAGCTCCTTCTTCAGCGCCTCCTCCACCTTGTCCTTGCGGAGAGCAATAATTCCGTAATCATACGGATAGCGATCGAAGACCTCCTTGCCTTCTCCACAGCTGTCTTTGTAGTCCTCGGGCACGCGCAGCCATCCTCGGTCATTGTTTTCTTCCACGAATAATCCATCCGCGAGAAACGTGCAGTCGGGCTCTTCCTTCTTTGGATCCCAGTCGCGCACCACTTGCACCAAACAATACCCATGGTCAGGCTTACTGCAAAAAATGACGTGCGCTGCCGTTGTGAAATAGTAGCACTGGTCTTCAGGGACTTCACTCTTGTCGTTGAGCTGTTTTACCATAAAGCATGTGCCGGGCGATATCTTGCCTTTCTTGGCGGACCCGATGCACTTTTCGCACTCAGAGCGTACCTGGAAGATGGATGCATGAACTGAGTGGCAAAGTGACTCCGCATTCCGAGGTGTCGGAACTTGCACTCGCCGGTCGTCGCCGAAGAACTTCTCCACGCCTCCCTCTGCCATAACTCTATCGTTAGTAATAATTATTAGTTGCCGGTGAGTAGATCAACTATGAATGTGTTCTTCTTATCTTGGACTTCTGTGAGGCCGTTTGTTGTGACCAGGTGACTTATTTGAAAATGCCTTTGCAGTTTGGTGCGCTGCATGTGCGCGCCCTATGCCTATGGCTATGCTGCATGCGCGCGCTATGCTGCATGCGCGCTGAAAACCTGTCATCTAGTAGACTTACTGCATGCAGTACTGGTAATGATACTACTACTAGCAAGGGCGTCGGAACCGCATGGCGCCCCACTTTTTCGTTTTTTATATTTTTTTAGTACACTGCATCAAAGCGCGATGATCTCAGCGCAAACGTGGCAAATCCTTGTCCCTGATCGTGGTTTGTTGCAGAATCAAAAGTCCATGTACACTGAAATGGCACCAAATGCCTGGGAATGCTTGCAATTGGCTTCAATTTTGATTTTTTTCCCGGGGGAGGGTTTGTCCCCATCGTAGTGTAGACCCTTGTACAAGTAGTGACGTATGCTGTCTCGTGATATCGCTGCCGTGGCTGGAACCTAGCCCCACACGTGACACCCTTTTCCTTTGGTCTTCCCGCGCTTCTTGCTGAAGGCAGGAGAGAGAGTTTGGTTTTACTCGTCATGGCGAGAGTAATTTCCTGGGTTCCGATTCTTTGTGTCTTTGTGTGTTGAGATACTCTGTAGCCTTTCAGAGAGGGTTACAGTAGCATCTTCTTTGTTTTTTTTGCAGAATCAAAAGGTCTTTCATTGTAGTTACCGTACATTGAAATGGCACCAAATGCCCGGAGATGCTGGCTTCAATTTTTGAAATTTTTTAGTAGATGTACATGTACATGTACATGTACATGTACATGTACATTATCCATATAAAAATCGCTCTGTGAGCGGTTCTGAAAAACCTTTACTGGTACTGCCCCGTCGTAAAAGTAAGAAATTAGAACTGGCCCATTGTCCCCCCAAATGCGAACTGATCCACCTAAATCGCGAATGACGGGACCCGAACGCACCAGTAGCACGAGGTCGGGAGGGCACAGGATCACGGCAATTATCATAGGGTAACACCAGTAGTAGTAGTAGAATTTATTATTTTGATAGGGAAGCCTACCGCTAGTACAGTACATGGCCTATGGTCCGGGCCAACGTCCCCATCTGCATCCACAGGTAGGAACCACGTGCTACTGGTGCGTTCGGGTCCCGTCATTCGCGATTTAGGTGGATCAGTTCGCATTTGGGGGGACAATGGGCCAGTTCTAATTTCTTACTTTTACGACGGGGCAGTACCAGTAAAGGTTTTTCAGAACCGCTCACAGAGCGATTTTTATATGGATAATTTCAGCTCTTTTTCCGTTCCCTCCCCACCCCAACCCCGAAGGTAAACATGATGACGACGCGCGCGATGTACTGTATGTAGCCATGCGACTACAATAACACACTGATACATACCAGCCCTCCCCGCCTCGCTACCCCGCACACAGATACACAAACATGTGTATGCACACGGCACACACACGTGGTCACGCACACATACGCACATGCACACGACACAAACAGGAAAATCTTCATGTATAATGCCATGCAAAGCAGTGGCCACCGTACTTGAGGAAGTCAGTTGTGAAACAAAAATAATTCAACTACAGCGTGTAGACAAGCTGACGGCCAAAGCACAACATAGAAAACATGACATTTGCCCAAGGATTGCAGTTTGCAGACCATGCCATGGAAGCAGCGAATACAGAATGTAATATCATACAAAGTGACAAGCAAGGACGTGGCCATCATACACCAGAAACTTGCAGAAAGTCACATATCCAACAGATAGAGAAGTGAACAGCAATCTGATACAGCCCACACAGGACAAAGCGGACCTGATACTCGTCCCAGGATCGCAAGTGGCAAACCCTTTTCAATGCATAACATGCAGGTGTACGTTAGACGCATGAACATCTGACCGTGTCGCCAGCATACAATGTCATCACATGTTTACCCCACAAGTTACACACATGCACAGTAGAAGCACAATGAAAGCAATGGAAAAGTACGATGTGGTTGCTGAAGCATCTTCACACTTCAAATTCAGACTTCAATGTGGTCGTCACGGGATGATATACCTGCAAGATACAAGTGATGAAGAAAGAAAGCAGAAGGTCGTGAGGTAGGCTATGAGACACCACAAACGGTTCACCTACATGTCTGTTCAGGGCTAGTGCACTCACACGGAGAATTGTCATAATGGAGCATTTCCCAAACTGAGAAGTGCAATGAAATCCACTTGCATGCACAGGAGCAATTTTGCAATAATTATTATGATGCGCAATTCGACACGATCTGCGATGCTGCGTGCGATGTGCCCTGCTGTCATGATAGTGACAGTCACCGCGGTATGTTTTGTCAACGTCGCCCGTGCACTCTTCTGTCAAGTCCAAAGTGCTCACATACTTGGCAATGTTTTTGCAGTGATTAACTTTTATCCTAGTTATGTCACGGGTAACTTTAATGAAGTACCCGCAGGCCGTGTCGATCTGCACATCGTCCACTCTCTCATGTACTTGGCCTGCTTTGTCTGTGTATCCATTTCATGTGCGATCCACAAAATCGACTAGACAGTGGGTGCAATACGCTCTCTACCTGAAGACGTTCTTCTGGCGACATCTCGCCATGTACTTGGCCTGGCTTTGTCTGTGTATCCATTTCATGTTCGATCAACAAAATCTCAATGCACTACAGAGACTAGACAGTGGGAGCAATACGCTCTCTATCTGAAGACGTGAACCATTAATTTTTTTGGAAAAGTTATACGTACACCTGAAACGTAATGAAGTACAGGAATAGAGAGAGTGACTACAACACGCTCTTGACCTGATATAGTGATAACGTGAGTACAAGACACTCTCCACCTGATAACGTGTTAGAAGGTAACATGTCTACAGTCCCACCGTACCCTTCCGACACGACTGTGGACCATTAAATTTTTTTGAGAAGTTATACGTACACCTTAAAGGGGAAGTATACCCTAAAATCAAATTTTCACCAGTTGTAGTCTTCTGGGTGCTGAGTCGAATGGTCTTGGTCCGAGGAAGCTGCGACGCTCCCTTCCTACTTGAATCCCAATCGAACTCGCGCACTTCCACCGAAACTGGGTGACTGCGCCCTACTAGATGGGGATTTGTATGCAAAATGTCACTAAAAGCGCCATTTCGTTCTTATAAAAGCACGGATCACCGCGATTGGCCCATATGTTGTAGTCTTTTGGACGCTGAGTCGACTAGTTTTGGTCCGAAAAGGCTGCGATGCAGCGTTCCTCCTTTATTCCCAATCGAACATGGTTGAACAAGCGGTCACGTGCTCCTGCGTACACCAGTCAGCTGGTCACCGTGCCTGCAGGGTACAACTTACTAGCCTGTTTGACCTTTTTTGGGTGCAGTCCTGTCACTCGAGTTGAACCCGAGTTGAACCTTGGTGTGAAAGTTGTCGCCTGCTGGCGCGGTGACCAGGTGATTTGGGCACCCAGGAGCACGTGACCGCTTGTTCAACCATGTTCGATTGGGAATAAAGGAGGAACGCTGCATCGCAGCCTTTTCGGACCAAAACCAGTCGACTCAGCGTCCAAAAGACTACAACCAAGAGTACATAAATGTACTCTTGCTACAACACATGGGCCAATCGCGGTCATCCGTGCTTTTATAAGAACGAAATGGCGCTTTTAGTGACATTTTGCATACAAATCCCCATCTATATCTAGTAGGGCGCAGTCACCCAGTTTCGGTGGAAGTGCGCGAGTTCGATTGGGATTCAAGTAGGAAGGGAGCGTCGCAGCTTCCTCGGACCAAGACCATTCGACTCAGCACCCAGAAGACTACAACTGGTGAAAATTTGATTTTAGGGTAGAGGGGACGGTTTCAAATAGGACACCGGTTGCAAACCGGAACGGACTCAATATTCACTTTCTCTCTTGGTATTTTGATTAGAAAACATATGTCACAGTGAGACTACTATGTGTTATACTCCGAGCCAAAATTTAATGGCTCTGCGATGACCAGAAGCGCCATATCAAGCAGGTGAGTTTTTGACGTGTTGCTTCGCACTGCGACTTGAGTTTTACGACTTTCGAAAAATCAACTTCTTGTCGCAGGTAAACAGCGGCTCGCCTCTCGCCAATAAAGCACCGCATGCCAATCAAAACTAATGGAAGCACACACAAGGCTTATTGTTACTCTGTACTGGCCGTCGTGGAGCGATAGCAATTACCTAATTTCAGACCCAGAGTGAATTTGACGTGCACTCTAAAACGTGTCCGGTTTGGAGCCACCTCTGATTTGAACTTTTTTGAAGCGAAAAATTGGGCAACTTGGAGGCAATGGGTCAACACAAAGGAGTGGCTCAGTTCGATTGACTCTGGCCCCAGAGCAAACTTCAACATGCCAGTTTCCTTCCACAAACATATTTCGAGTGAAAAATCAACGCTGATGATCGGTTTGGGTCTATACAAATTTGGCTGTCAAAACGTCCCGGTATCGAGCCGTCTCCTCTATACTTCCCCTTTAAACGTAATGAAGTACAGGAATAGAGAGAGTGACTACAATACGCTCTCGACCTGATAACGTGAGTACAAGACACTCTCCACCTAATAGCGTGTTAGTAGAAGGTAACAGGTCTACAGTCCCACCGTACCCTTCATCATTCCTCATTCACCATCGCGCGATACCCTGGCACACACTGGCAACATATCAATGGGGTGCCTTACCGTCGTCTAGAGGAGACGTCTTCGCAGCAATATTTTCCCTCCTGCGCATTCAGTCGCCGACGCGACAGCGTTCACGGGCCGTTCCAGTTGCGGAAGACATTCGATTCATCGGGCCAATTCAGAAACAGGGCCGTGGACACACAGGGGGCAGAGGAGAGACATTGTTAGTGGACAAGAAATATGCAGTGGCAAGTGGCGAGTGCCGCATAGGTGTCAAGTTGTCATGCACAATTCAGCTATTACTTACGGTCCAGCTAGTCCTGCCATTGCTCGCTCGTCCTGGTTCCTCCTCGTTCGTCTTCCTGCACGTCTGCACTTCTCCTTCCCCACCGTTG